TATTTTTCCGAACACCCGCTGTCGCTTTCAACCCCCCCGCCACCAGACTCAAGCTTCACCATCATGGCAGCCGCCTCCCGCTCTGGCAAAAGTAAGACAACAGCAACGCCCCATGCGTCCTTGACGTTCGCCGATGGTTTGAGCAACCCGGCTAACATCAAGAACTGGGTTCTTTGGAAAACGTCATACTGATTGACAGGAGCACGCTGTGGATGCGCGGGGGCCGCGGGGGGGCCCTCCTCAGACGCGGGTTCGCCCCCGGAATCCTTGCGAGAACCTGCCTCGAATAGTGATTGAACAGCGCGCGGAGAACCTGCACGCGCAGTCCAAGGGACCTGGCTGTTGATGGCCACACTGATGAAATATTTGCATGATATGTCATCAAGTTGCAATACGCCTCGTCGGCGCCAGCCTTGGTCCTCCACATGCGAATGCAACTCTGAGGGATTTCCACCTGGATTACTACGAAATCCGAAAGCAGCACTGAAGCCGCCCATCGATCACTACCAAGGAACTCCACCGGCTCTGAAAAGCAACCGCTCCTGATAACTTGGATACCTACAGTGGACTCGTGCCTGCACCTCACCGCCTTGCCGCGCATGTTGTCTGGGTTCTCAGTCAACCAAAAATCACACCGAACTGCCCCTCCGAAGTGCTCCCGTCGTGTCCAGAAGTCCACAATCGTGTTTCTTTGCTTTTGCAAAATATGAAACCGCACGCTCGGCCAATATCAGTTTTGCCTGCGATCCGATCCCACAGAAACAAAGTGACAACATCATGGTTGGCCTTCTGCTTCTTCTGTGCTGGTGGCTCTAAAAGAACCAACGACCCGAGCATGTTTCAACCGCTCGAGCCAGCGCCAAAATGGCAACGGAGAAAACCAACTATTTCAGGTGCCCCCGGATCAACATGCCACATGTATTGCTACTCTGCTGCCCAGGTTCGCTACAGGCATTCCCCGCCTCCCTACCCCCATGGGCCACCGCCCCCCCCCACCCCCCACTCCCCCCAGGATGATCATTACGGTTGCGATATTTCACGACAGGGGCCAGGGCCCAAACTGGGCGCCGGCGGTAAACCGTCAACCTTTCTTACCGCCGGGGGACTCGTAGAGCTTCCTGACAACATATAATGTCGAAAGAAATTACACAGAAAAAATAGTTTTTCAGCCCAGACAATTTGAGACCTCTCGGATGCAACAGCCGAACGCCCCCGATGCTTCTAGATTGTCTGCACGAGCTCTGTAGCTCTCCTACAGCCCGAGTTACGTGCGTGAATCGACAGCACCTCTGAAGATGACTCGAACAATACGAATAGTTCGGCAAACCTAGTTCGAGTATCAGACCGAGTTCAGACCTCTGCATGCTACAGACGGACGCGTCTGATGTCTCTGAATCGATCCCTGTGATTACCAGCCCGGCAGCCCCCCTGCAGCCGAGTTAAGTGCAGGAAACCGACAGCACCTCTCAGGATGGCTCGAACAATACGAATAGTTTCGCGGACCTAGTTCGGGCAACAGACCGAGTTCGGAGCTCTGGATTTTGCAGGCGAACGCGTCTAATGTCTCCGAATCGATTCGAGTGATTACCAGCCATGCAGCCCCCCTACAGCCCGAGTTAAGTGCAGAGAACCGACAGCATCTCGCAAGCGACTCGAACGATACGAATAGTTTCGCGATTCTAGATCGGGCAGCAGACCGAGTTCAGAGCTCTGGATTCAACAGACAACGGCCACTGATGGTTCTGAATCAGATTCTGTACGCATCAGCTCTTTAGCTGTCCTGTAGCTCGAGTTAAGTATAGAAAACCGAGCGCCTGTCAAGATGACTCGAATAATACGAATAGGTTTGCGCACCTAGCTCGGCTAGCAGACCGAATTCGGACCTCGCGCTTCAACAGGCGAACGCGCCTGATCATTCTGAATCGATTAGCTGTGCTTACCAGCTCTGTAGCTGCCCTAAATAAAGCTCGAGTTATGTTGAGAAAACCGTCACCGCGTGACAAGATGACTCGAAACGGCCGATCCCGCCTGCCTGCTTTTTGGCAGTAAAAGGTACCCGATCGAGCTGAGATCAAGATGGCGAGCGGAAATAAGATCGAATATGACGGGACAAAATACTAGAGCTCAAACGAATTGTTGAATTTTGAGAACAAAATTTTCAACCGACCAAAAGTCAGCAAAAGGAACCCGGAGAGCAAAGAGAACTGGGCGCCGGCGGTAAACCGTCAACCTTGGTTACCGCCGGGAGACTCGTAGAGCTTCCTTGCCATATATATATATATGAATAGCATGTGCGCGCGGCAACAATATATGTATATAGATACATGTATCCCTGTGTTGATTGTCGTCCAAACCGATTGTAGCGATCGAGTAGCCTCGTCGAAGTCGCCCGTCGTCGTCGTCGTAGGCAAGAGTCCGCTGTGGGCTGCCAGTGACCGCATCCAAGAAATCGCGATTTCTGAATCGCTTCTTTGTTGCAGTCGGTCTGTTTCGAGACGAGCACTGCAACATCATCACATGCGCCGACATGACATCCGAGATTGGCCCGAGCAGTTCGTCTTGCGATTAGAGAAGTAAGAGAGCGAGAGAGAGAGAGAGACAGAGACAGAGAGATGAAACATGAAAGAAGAAGAGAGAGAGAGAGAGAGAGAGAGAGAGAGAGAGAGAGAGAGAGAGAGAGAGAGAGAGAGAGAGAGAGAGAGAGAGAGAGAGAGAGAGAGAGAGAGAGAGAGAGAAAAAAAAAAAAAAAAAAAAAAAAAAAAAAAGAGAGAGAGAGAGAGAGAGAGAGAGAGAGAGAGAGAGAGAAACAAAAAAAAAAATCCATACGCATACCCAGTCCGCCCCCGTGCCTCTCGGCACCGAGTGCGCGGGCCCTAAGGTCCTCCTCCCAATCCATCCTGCCTCAGTCCTCAATCCTGAGGAGTCTTTCAGAGCCCCAGACCCCACAGTGCCAAATCGTCTTGGACTCGGCGCGACCCCCCTGGGACTTGCCCCCAAGACGCGCTAAGAGAGCCCCAAGAGGCGCGAAGACGGCCCACGAAAGCCCCGAAACGCCCGGCGAGCGCTCCACGACGCCCAAGGAAAGTAAACCTACTCCTCCTCGAACCTCGAAGGGGAGGAGGAGGACGGGGACGTCGGAGAGGCAGTGCCTCGCTGCTTCCCCAAATGAGCGCAGCTCGAGGCCGCCCACACATGTGGTCGGCGCACATGGGGGCCCGAGAGGGCGGAGGACGGAGGCGCGGCGGGCCCCCCTTCCGGTGCCCCTCTTCGAAGGTTTTTGGGCCCCTCTTCGAAGGTTTTTGAGCCCCTCTTGGGCCGTCTTGGAGGCCTCCTGGGCCGTCTTGGAGCCCTATGTGGACCATCTTCGGGCCCTCTTGGGAGCCTCTCGGGCCCTCTTGCAGCAATGTTCGGGGCCGCTTGGGCCGTCTTGGGACATCCGGAAGCGGAAAAGGTGGAAACGCAAAAACCTGCCCAGAACCTTGAAAAAGCAATGTTTTTGTCCTCTTGGGGCCCTGTTGGGAATGCTCCTGGAAGCCTCTTCGGGCGTCTGGGGCCATCTTCGTCGTCTCGGAGCGATCTCGTGGCATCTGGGAGCAGTATTGAACCATCTTGGGAAGCTCTTGGCGGTCTGTTGGCGCTTGCTCGGGCAAAAGAGCGGATCGGAGCATGATAAGTCTGAGCATGGGTGAGTCTGGACTTGAGTGGGTCTGAGTGAAAGAAAGTGCGAGTGTGAAGGAGTCTGAGTGCGAGTGAGTCGAGCGTGAGCGGGCATGGATGTGAAGCAGTCTGAGTGCGAGTAGGTCCAAGGGTGAGGTGCCAACAGAGCGCATTGATGAGCAGAGGCCAAGGCGAGGCTGTCAGAGAAACGAACGTGGTCAGCACACCCCTCCAGTGGATCGTGCCTCCGGGGGTTGCACATCCACCGACCCCACACGTATGGGGCCAAGGGGGGCTCCGAATCCGCCATCCCTACATCTCAAGCGTCAGGCGCGCGCCTCCACCGACCCCCTCGCGCGGGGTCACCGGCGCATTCTCATCGTCCTCTTCCTCCTCCAGTTCCTTCTCCTCCTCCTCCTCCTCCTCGCTCGTCTCCCTCGTCCTCGTCGTCGTCGTCGTCCTCCTCCTCCTCCTCCTCCACCTCCTCCTCCTCCTCCCCGTCCTTCTCCCCCCCCTGTCTTGTCGAGTCACGGCGGAAATCCCCAGTAGGGGTTTTATTTTCCATTCCAGCCGCGCGCAGCGGTGGCGACGAGAGAAGGGAAGGGACAGAGGGGCAGGCGGGCCCCCCGCAAAGGGCTAGAGGGGCCTCGCGGGCCGTCTTGGGACATCGGGAAGCGGAAAAAGTGGAAACGCCAAAACCTGTCCAGAACCTGGCTCCGCGCCAGCCTGCAGGCCCCCTCACTCTTATCCGCAAGTGCGGGGTGCTCCGTATTTGAAAACCTCCCCACGTAAACCGGCCAAACAACTCCGAATGCAGATGCCGATGCCTCGCGGAGGTGCATTAATGTAACATCTGTAACGATCCGTCGGCCCCTTGGGGGTCCTTGGCATGCGAAATAAACGCCCCTCCCGAAACGTCCACCCTGGTGCCTCTCTGCACCGAGTGGACGTGCCCTACAGTCATTTGGCCAATCCCCAAACCATCTCTGACCCAGTCGAACTACTACGCTCTCAAAGTGCAGATCGAGCTACGGTACTGTTACAAACGCGAATCAGGCTGGTGATCGGACGACGCCGTACACACGCTCAAAGGGCCTGCAGTTCTGCAAGTACAAATCTAGGGAACTACTCTCCCACCATAGGGGAGCGTGCGAAGTCCCTGTGTGCCGGACGGGGTGAAACAAAGGCGCGCCGCACACGGCGCACTTGTGGCGGCGGCGGTCACATACAGCGCACAGCAGCCACACCCGGCGGCAACCACGCAACGCGCATAGATGGATAGCCGCGGAAACCACACCCGGCGGCAGCCACGTAAAAGTACAGACACCAACCACGGCAGCAGCCGACATGTGCCCGTGCTCGTAAAGTGCTTCATTGTCGTACATGATGGTCACATCTGTGTGCTCCAGGAGGGAATGCACGCAGAGCACCGTGTTGTAAGGCTCCACCACTGCGGTGGCGACCTGCGAGCACGCCCACACGGTGAATGAACACTTCGTCTTCTTTCCGTAGTCCACGGACAGGCGCTCCAGCATCAAGCAGCCGAGCCCGGCGCCAGTACCTCCGCCGACAGCATTGTAGATAATAAACCCTGGAAGCCGGTGCAGTTGTCGGCCAGCTTGCTGATCCGATCGAGCACGAGGTCGACGATCTCCTTGCCGATCGTGTAGTGCCCGCGCGCGAAATTGTTCGCGGCATCCTCCATACCAGAGATAAGCTGCTCAGGATGGAACAACTGACGGTAAGTGCCTGTGCGTACCTCATCGACCACAGTGGGCCCCAGGTCGACGAATACACAGCGGGGGACATGCTTGCCGGCACCGGTCTCGGAGAAGGACGCGTTGAAGGCATCGTCGCCACCTCCAATTGTCTTTTCGGAGGGCAT